TACAACATATGGGCACAGGCGATCGCTTCCTAGGTATAACCCCAGCAGCACAGACATTAAGGGCAACATTGAATAAATGGGACCTACTGAAACTGAGAAGCTTCTGTAAAGCAAAGGACACTGTCACTAAGACAAAAAGGCAACCCCATGACTGGGAGAAGATCTTCACCAACGCCACAACAGACAAAGGTCTGATCTCCAAAATATACAAAGAACTCAAGAAACTAGACTTTAAAATGCTAATTAACCCAATTAAAAAATGGGGCACCGATCTGAACAGAGAATTCTCAACAGAAGAAGTTCAAATGGCCAAAAGACACTTAAGGTCATGCTCAACCTCCTTAGCGATCAGGGAAATGCAAATCAAAACAACTTTGAGATATCATCTTACACCTGTCAGATTGGCTAAAATCAAAAACACCAATGATAGCCTCTGCTGGAGAGGCTGTGGAGGAAAGGGTACCCTCATCCATTGCTGGTGGGAATGCAATCTTGTGCAACCACTTTGGAAAGCAGTGTGGCGGTTTCTCAGGAAATTCGGGATCAACCTACCCCTGGACCCAGCAATACCACTCTTGGGAATATACCCAAGAGATGCCCGAGCATATGACAAGGACATTTGTTCAACTATGTTCAGAGCAGCACTATTTGTAATAGCCAGAACCTGGAAACAACCTAGATGTCCTTCAATGGAAGAATGGATGAAGAAAGTGTGGAATATATACACATTAGAGTACTACGCTGCAGTAAAAAACAATGACTTCTCAAATTTTGCATGCAAATGTATGGAAATAGAAATACTATCCTGAGTGAGGTAACCCAGACCCAAAAAGATGAACATGGGATGTACTCACTCATAATTGGGTTCTAGCCATAAATAAAGGTCAGTGAGTCTATAATTTGATATCCTAAAGAAGCTAGATAAGGTGAACCCAAAGAAAAACATATAGCTATCCTCCTGGGTATGGGAAGTAGACAAGATTGCCAGGCAAAAAATCGGGATCTTGGGGGTGGGGTGGGAGGAGGGTAAGGGGAGAGGGGGAGAGAAAAGTGAGAAGGGTAGGATGGGGAGAACTTGGGGAAACAGGATGATTGAGATAAAAGAAGGTTGGACGGGGAGCAGGGAAGCACATATTTTAATTAAGGGAGCCATCTTAGGGTTGGCAAGAGACTTGGACCTAGAGGGGCTCCCAGGTGCCCAAGGCGAGGTCCCCAGTTAGTTCCCTGGGCAGCTGAGGATAGGGAACCTGAAATGATCCTATCCTATAGCCATACTGATGAATATCTTGCATATCACCATAGAACCTTCATCTGGCGATGGATGGAGATAGAGACAGAGACCCACCCTGGAGCACCGGACTGAGCTCCCAAGGTCCCAATGAGGAGCAGAAGGAGGGAGAACATGAGCAAAGAAGTCAGGACCACAAGGGGTGCACCCAACCACGGAGACAGTGGGGCTGATCTATTGGGAGCTCACCAAGGCCAGCTGGACTGGGACTGAAAAAGCATGGGATAAAACCGGACTCTCTGAATATGGCGGACAATGAGGGCTGCTGAGAAGTCAAGGACAATGGTACTGGGTTGTGATCCTACTTCATGTTTTGGCTTTATGGGAGCCTAGCCAGTTTGGATGTTCACCTTCCTAGACCAGGATGGAGGGGGGAGGACTTTGGACTTTCCAGAGGGCAGGGAACCCTGACTGCTCTTCAGACTGGAGAGGGAGGGAGAGAGGAGTAGGGGGAGGGGGATAGGAGTGGGAGGAGGGGGAGAGGAGTGGGGGAAGGGGAGGGGGAGAGAAGGGGGAGGCTGGGAGGAGGCGGAATTTTTTTTTTCAATAAAAAAATAAATAAATAAATAAAAAATGACAAAACTTACTCCAACACTCTCCTTGGCATGTGAGAATTAAAACAAAGGTGACTTGAATCTGGTTCTGACCTTAATATGCTTTAGGTCTCACTAGACCGCACACAAAGTCATTTTTATAGTTATCTGAGCACACATAGAAGTAAATCTGTGCACAGCTTTAGTTAATGCAGTGGTGAGTGTATCTCACAATACTGACAATGCCACTGAAACTGCATCTGTATTGCCTCCACTGACCACTGCATTCTACAGTGCAGCTGTGGGATCCTAAGTCAGGAACAGTCCAACAGCAGACTGTGCAGCTGGCATTCACTTTCTACTCTTCTGCCACTAAAATATGGAGGGAGGGACCTATTTTGCATTCATTATTGGGAAGTATTTCTACTCCATAGATTACAATGCAAAAGGCAATTAATTACTCAGATACATTTTTAAGAGTGCTTAAGTCAAGCAACAGACTTACATGTGCTATTAATAAACAACAAAATCTGTTTTGATATATCAGAATCTTTACAGAAAATTTTTCTCTTGCAATAGTTCTTTGAATATAAACTTGATGCAAGAAGGGAAAACATTTATCATATTCAGTATAAAAACTGGCTTTACCATTTCAATGAAAGATTAGTGAATAAAATTTGAGTACATTAAGAATTTTCATATCTGCCAGGTGGTGGTGATGCGTGCCTTTAATCCCAGCCCTTGGGGGGCAGAGACAGGTGGATCTCTGTGAGTTCGAGGCCAGTCTGGTCTACAGATTGAGTTCCATGACTGGCTCCATAGATACTGAGAAACCCTGTCAGGAAAAACAAAAGTAAGCAAATAAATAAACAAACAAATAAAAGAAATTCATTTCCAAAGTGAAAGTTTCCACTGTACTTCTTTCTAATAAATATAAAGTAGTAAAATATATGAACTGGCATTTTTCAATTAAGAAAGCTAAACTAAATAATTAAATAATTAGATTGTTTATTGAGTTCTTAACATTTTCCCATTTCAACAAATCGAATAAATAGAGTACACACCCAAGAATTTATTGCCACAAAAATCTTAGCTACTTATACATGGGGAAAAGGATAGTATATTTTGTAGAACCTTGAGACTACATTCAATATTTCATACTCTCTAGTTGGCCAGAGAACAAAAGATAACAGGCAAATTTTACTCCTTTTTCTTTCAAAGGTTTTCCTAATTTAGGAGTAAGAAGGAACAAGAAAAGTTGTCATAAATTCCCATTTGGGAATAGATGGAAGCTTCTGACCTTAAGTCACAGAACTATTTCATTCCCGTGGATGTGTGAAGTAGTTAAAGAAAAATGGTCAAGAACAGAGATTTGAGACACACACAGGACACCCTGGAAACTCTAGGATGTGAAGGTTGAAATGACTGGGCTATTCAGATGGAGTCACTTAATGGTTTTAGGTGAAGAACATGAAGAAAGTGGCTGAGGAAAAAGTGGACGTCCTGGAGACAGGCACCACCTGAGTTCAGGATAAAGGGGAACTGACTCTCAGAGCTGTCCACGCTACCCATTGTGTTCTGTGAGATTTAAAGCAGTCAGGAGATTCCTAGAACAGTGAGGGGCATCTGCTGCCAGCTAGCCCCAGAGGAGTGCTAGTGGGAGATCCAGGGAGATTCAGTGGCATTTACATAACTTTGCTAATTACTAGATATAACTGGCACTCAAAGTATTTTCTACCTCACTAAAATGCTTTTGGGGAAGGTGAGTACTTATGACAAACATATGCAAATTTCTTAATTGGAGATATCTCGATGAATTTTTAGTAATTTTTATATTTCACTCAATTACTTTAAAATAGAGTTTAGTACAAATTAATACAGAATAATGAAGGGAATAGCAACCATGTGCATTTGACAGGTAACAATGAATTTTTAATAATCTGTTGATAGTACAATCAGAGATTCAATCTGTTATTAGCAAAGTGGGATCAGAAGGTTTTCCTCACTTTCAATGACTTTTCTCCCCAAACCACCAACTAGGGAGCAGTTTCTCTTCACTAGCACATGGTCAGAAAGAGATTGTCAGAGAGCAATCTCTTTCTGACCATGTGCTAGTTGTTCTAAGCACAAAACCTGATGAGCATTCCACAATTCCAGGTAGTGATAATGAGAAAGTGAGATACTATCACATAAAGGCTCCTTTTTCACATAATGAGAAGCCATGGCTAGAAAGTAGAGCCCAAAGAAATGCAAACTCTTCTTACAAATAGGGAATGTTCTTCAGAGACCGGGCTCAGCAGGTTAAAGAGCCTATTGTCAAACCCAATGACTTCAGTTCAATTCCTGAAACTAACTCTTGCAAGGCTGAAAGATGTTTCACTACAACTCTACAAAACAACATGTTCTCTATTCAGCTGGAGACTTTGGTTCTATTTTTCTCAATTGACTTATCAGGCTAAGAGTTTTTTTTCACAAGTTATATAGATTATCCCAGACAACTTTTGCTAAGGCTGTAGGTGGGTAGAAATAATCCTGACACCACAGAATCCTGATTCACCATCCATACAATCTCTTATGAACAACTAACCTGAGAAACAATGAGAACTAAGTAAGATATAGCTTCAGATACTTTGAAAAACAGAATGTGGTGAGGGAGACAAATTTCAGAAGACAAGCTGCTATAGGGTAGAACTATTCTGTCACAGACGTATTAAGAGAGGCATAAGAAAGTTAAGCATGGTAGCACTGTCTAAAATCACAGCACTCGGAAAGTTGACATAGGAGGACCACAAAGTCAAGAATAGTCCAGGCTACTAAGACACTTGTCTCCAGAATAAAAAGAGGGGTACAATGAGTAGTCAAGAGTAGAAGAAATGTCCCCCAGGAAAGCACCCTGGAAGCTATACCTCTCCTAATTATTTGCAGTCACTTCTTACAGAATTTTGTGCTTAAGATCAATTTCCATTGTTTGTAGCCCTCAATTCTGTCACCCCAGCATAGCTATAGCAGTCAATACTCTCACACAGCAAGCTACGGCAGTACCCAGGCAACCGCGCGCACACACACACATGCACACATACACCACTACCCTCCTCCTAGGGCAGAGATCTCAAGACCTGATGGCATGTTTGAGGCAGACTCACTACCAATGGGGAAGGACCACTAGAAAGATTTCTTACCAAGAGCTGCTGCACAGCAGCGTCAATGGGTCAAATCCAGCAAGCAGGAGATGTGGCAGCCACTCTTTATATTTTGTTTGTGCTTTAACTGCATAACTTATAAATTCAGTTGTATGATTCCAAGGAGCCAATAGGCAAACTTTCTTCAAAAAGCAGCAAAACATTGAAAACATTTCATACTTCAGGCAGTATGCCAAGTGAAGTTCATTTAACTGGGCTCCATACTTCAATAGAATATTCACAATTCCAGAGAAGTCACAGCTTCACCGAAAAGTAAAATGAAATAGGAACAAAGAAGTTTAAAAGTTAGACTTCTATACAACAAATAGTTCCTAAGAAGTTGTTAATAGTAGTTACAACTGTGAACAAGAATGATAGTTGGACACCCAGTGGCTTCTTCATGCAATGAGTTGAAATGAGGTCATGAGAAAGAAAACGTTTATATCTCAATCACGACGCACTATTATGCTGTCAACTATAAGATTTTAAAAATATCTTGACAAAGAAACCTCTTATCAAGCTATAATATTTTTCTCCTACTATTTTTTTAAAATTAATAAACATGGTAATTCCTCAAAGATTCATTCATTCTAGAAACCTCCATATTATGTAGCCATAGCCAATTTCCACTGTTTTGTATGTGGTCATGTACCATACCTATCACACAGGAAAGCTTTTCCAATGAACATAGTTGTACTTCTAGGGAATAAACATGTACCATTTTTGCCTATTAAACTTAGTGTTAAAAAAGATCATTGAATACTAACATTTACACTGAAATTGACTGAAAGCAGGTGTGATTCTCATTTGAAAGAGCCACTTCACAAGATCATCAAGAGAGGTAAGACTACAAAGAGAACACAGACTCTGGAGCCACCTAGCTGTGTGACTCTGAGTTGCTTTACTTCTCCGCGACTATGTGGTATTTATGAAAATAAATAAATAAATAAATAAACTGCTACATATGTAATAAATACATTCATGTAGGTAAATATATTTATACACATTTAAATAGGCTTATGTAAATAAATATAAAGGAAATCTAAGCATTAAAAATTTCAGACTTCTTATTCAGTAAGAAATTTGTCCAAAAGATAAAATTCAAAGTAAATTGTAATCCATTTGTAGAAATTTATTAGCAATATTCTTTATAGCAGATTTTAGAAACTAAATATTCAACAACAAAGAATCAGACAAATAAGCATAACATAAAGTTATTCTCCCTTTCAACCTGGCATTATATCATTTAAAAAACTATAAATGTTGAAATATTTTCAATAATTATAATACAGAATCTAGAAAAGAATAGGATTTTTATATTAAATAAATGCAAAATATCTAAAGTCATGTGAGAACAACTACTTCTTAAGACAGATAAAACTTGACAAGTGTGGTACCATACACCTTCAATCCCAACACTTGAGAGGCAGAGGCAGAGGCAGGTGGATCTTTGTGACTTACAGCCAGCCTGGTCTACTTGGCAAATTCCAAAAGCTAGGCCTACATATTGAGACCCTGTCTCAAAAGAAAAAGAAAAGATTCTCTAATGAGTTTTTAAAAATTTGAAGAAAGCTTATAGTGTATACAAGCCTGGAAAAATCAAGGTACAGGATGAAGTTATTTTTAAGCAAATTATACACTCAATGTTCATCAATCTCTAAACATTTTTAAGAAGTACCTTTAAAATTAAAGTAATAGAGCCAATCATTAATTTGAGGGAAGTATAATAAATAAGAGTATAAAATTCCGTAAAAGTCTGTAAGTACAAGAACAATGACATATTTATTGTTAATATAAACTTATCCTAAGTTTCCAGATTCTTCAAACATTTGTAGATCCATTCATTCCCTATAAGGCCACAAGAAAAATTCCCAGAACACTGCTTAACCTTACGTGTTCCAAGTTTATCTATAAAATTACTTTCCCCCAATGTATTTTCTCTCTATTTGTATATTATAAAAGATGTTCAATAAACCAGCCCCAAACTTCTCCCAATTACTGTACTCACAGTCTGTGTTAAATGGAGAAAGAGCACACTCTCAAAGAGCTTATGAAACTGGCCAGTGCTACTATATGCCCTCCCTTTCCATCAAAAGTACGATTCCCGAGGAAAAAAGCAAGTGTGAAATACACTGAAGAATCACAGAATGGTGTCAGCACTCTCTGAGCATCTGGGACAGTTACTGTAAAGCTCTCAAACACAAGGCATGCTCAGAGATGAAAGCAACCTCAGTGCTCTATATGACCTTGATCATTGCATGTCATTTGAGCATAGCAAATCCTCCTAGTCAGGTAACCACTGGTTAAAATATAAATAATATGGGCAAATCTATATATTTCTCTTAAAATACATATTTCTCTCTATCTCAAGCCCTGATGACAAATTGGAGAAGCTCTTCAGATCCTAGCGGGAGAAAAAGTCTGTCCTGCAGACACAAACACCAAGAATCAACTGTGACATACAGAGACAGCTCATCACCTAAACAGTGAGCAATTCGAGGAAGTGACTCATCTGATCAAGAGAGAGATTTAAAGACTAAAGCACAGTAAAAATGGCCATTTTTCACCACTATGGTGTTACATGTTTAGAAATAGACAAAAATATGGTACCTACATGAAAGAAAACTCAGGTTGTCAGACTTGGTGACAAGTGTTTTTATCTAGTCGTCTGTCCGGGACAGTGAAAACGTTTAGACAGACTTAAGTTATATCACAGCTAGCTATCCATAACAATGAGTTCAAGAAAGTCAATGAAATTTGTAGTGTGCTTGTAGCCACTTCTGCAGCATTAAAATCATAACATCTATGGCCACAGGAGTCAGAGTGGGGTTACAAGGAGAACTGGGTATAGAAAGCACCAATCTGTTAGTGATGTAGTGTGGATACTAAAGTGATATTCCTGAACTGAGAGATATTACCATTCCTTAGTGGTCAAGGCACAAAAGAACAAGTAGTATCTGAAAACTATTCAATCTATCAAAGATGGTGTCACCAATTTGTTGTCAGGAAGCCATAAATAAAAAATCTAAGAAACCCAGGACTAAAGCCCCCATGATTCAGGCTTTTGTTATCCAAGTGTCCTACAACATAAATGCCAACATTTTGCTCTGAAGGAACAACACACTAAGACAGTAAGGGGAGACTGCAGAATATGATAAACTTTTGGCCAAGAGAATGAAAGAAGCCAGGAACAGATTGTCAAGAGATGTAGGCTGTCTTCATTGAGAGTTTGCATGATGCTGTAACTGCAAATGCTGCCAACTACACACACTGTTCTACCTGTAGGTGTACAAAGTTAGAAAATTTCCTTTGTTATTTGCTATACTGATTATGCTTCTCATATTAAAGCTACAAATCAAGTAGGTGATGATTATCAGTGGGAAAGTTGGGGGGATGGAAAGGAAATGAAGAAAGGGAACTGGCAATTAATGTAAACTTATTTTGGGGAATATATATATATATATATATATATATATATAGAGAGAGAGAGAGAGAGAGAGAGAGAGAGAGAGAGATTGATTCTCTATAGCTTTGGAGCCTGTCCTGAAACTAGCTCTTATAGACCAGGCTGGCCTCGAACTCACAGAGATCTGCCTGCCTGTGCCTTCCGAGTGCTGGGATTAAAGGCGTGAGCCACCACTGCCCAGCTGAGAATTTCTACTTCTAAGTCTCAGACCAGTCAAAAGTAAGTGCATTGGGACTGGAGAGATGGCTCAGCAGTTAAGAGGACTGGCTGCTAATCTAGAGGACCCAGGTTTGAGTCCCAGCATAGGAGCTAACAATGATCCAGTTCCCTTTTCTGACCTCTGCAGACATTTTGTGAATGCAATGCATAGACTTACATGCAGGCAAAACACCCATCTACATAAAAAAGTAATAAAAGTCTCTTGCCAACCCTAAGATGGCTCCCTTAATTAAGATATGTGCTTCCTTGCTACCCTATCCAACCTTCCTTTATCCCAATCATCCCGTTTCCCCAAGTTCTCCCCATCCTCCCCTTCTCACTATTCTCTCCCCATCTCCCCTTACCCCCCTCCCACCCCACCCCCAAGATCCCGATTCTTTGCCCGGCAATCTTGTCTACTTCCCATAACCAGGAGGATAGCTATATGTTTTTCTTTGGGTTCACCTTATTATTGAGTTTCTTTAGGATATCAAATTATAGACTCACTGACCTTTATTTATGGCTAGAAACCAAATATGAGTGAGTACATCCCATGTTCATCTTTTTGGGTCTGGGTTACCTCACTCAGGATAGTGTTTTCTATTTCCATCCATTTGCATGCAAAATTCGAGAAGTCATTGTTTTTTACCGCTGAGTAGTACTCTAGAGGGGCTCCCAGGTGCCCAGGGCGACGTCCCCAGTTAGTTCCTGGGGCAGCTGAGGATAGGGAACCTGAAATGACCCTATCCTATAGCCACACTGATGAATATCTTGCATATCACCATAGAACCTTCATCTGGCGATGGATGGAGATAGAGACAGAGACCCACCCTGGAGCACCGGACTGAGCTCCCAATGTCCCAATTGAGGAGCAGAAGGAGGGAGAACATGAGCAAAGAAGTCGGGACCACAAGGGGTGCACCCAACCACGGACCACAGTGGGGCTGATCTATTGGGAGCTCACCAAGGCCAGCTGGACTGGGACTGAAAAAGCATGGGATAAAACCGGATTCTCTGAATATGGCGGACAATGAGGGCTGCTGAGAAGCCAAGGACAATGGCACAGGGTTTTGATCCTACTTCATGCTCTGGCTTTGTGGGAGCCTAGCCAGTTTGGATGTTCACCTCCTAGACCAGCATGGACGGGGGAGGACTTTGGACTTTCCAGAGGGCAGGGAACCCTGACTGCTCTTCAGACTGGAGAGGGAGGGGGGAGAGGAGTGGGGAGAGGGAGAGAGGAGTGGGAGGAGGGGGAGGGAAATGGAAGGCTGGGAGGAGGCGGAAATTTTTTTTCAATAAAAAAAAGAAAAAAGAAAAAAGAAAAAAATAAGTAATAAAAATGTGTCATTAAGAGTAACAAACAAATGAGGGCTAGAGAGATGGCTCAGTGGTTAAAAGCACTGGCTGCTCTTCCAGAGGTCCTGAGTTCAATTCCCAGCAAACACACGTTAGCTCACAACCATCTGTAATGAGATCTGGCACCCTCTTCTGGCATGCGGGCATACATGGAGGCAGAATGTTGTATACATAATAAATAAATGTTTTAAAAAAAAGTAACAAATGAATGGTTAGGCCTTTAAAAAATAGCATCTATCTACACAACTGATTTGTATTTTTAATGGAGCACAAGTATTACTTTATATGGTTTTTCTTATAGTCTTATTGTTGCACATGCGTGTCTGTCCATGTAGAGGCCACAAGACAGTCAACCTTGGGTGTTTTCCTCAGGAAGGCTATCCATTTATTTACTTTGAGGTAAGAGTCTAACACTGATCAGAAACTTCCCTATCAAGCTAGACTAGCTGGCCAGTGACACTAAGGAATCCTTCAGTCTCCTGCTCCCTATCGCTGGAATTAAAAGCACACACCACTACACCCAGTATTTTAATGTGGACTCTGTGAATTGAACTCAGGTCCTCACATTTACTCACTGAGCTGGGATTAAAGGTGTCAGCAACCACCCTCACCTACTAAGGTCTACTGTAAAACCCTCAGCAATTACCCTCAGCTACTCAAGTCCACTGTAGTCCCAAGGTCAAATTATTGGCCAAACACTTGAACAGCAGCATTAACTCTTCATTTATTCTACTTCACAGAACTGTAGCAGAGTATAAAAATGAAATGCATGACTTTTAAAATATATTTATTATGATGTACACTTAAAAATGCTGCATAACAAATATGTTAATGTTATAGTATCTAAAAAACAAGGTTTTATTGTAAGTCTCATAAAATAAGAAATAAATAAATTGATTAATTAATTAAAAGGTTTATAGTTAAATAACCTGAAGCAGTTACTGCTTTACTTGATAAAAGTTCCATTTTTGATTCTTGAATCATTTCAAAGACATCAGAGTTGGCCTAAGCATTTATATTAATATATTAAAAGTATTTCCTAACATTGTTACACTAAAAGTATAATGCAGGTCCAAAAAGAGAAGGTAAATAACCTGGCATTATCAACCTCACTTCTGCTAGATTGAACTACATATCCTGAAGCAGGCCTTTTGTAGATTAGCAACTTAGTACTAACAGAGACACCAAATTTCACTATGAAGAAAAGTCACTTGGGAATTAAAGAGAAGCAAAATGTAACGAACATACTTACTCCTTTTGGAAAGCCATGCACAGAGGGGAACTGAATCCAAAGACCAAGCACATCTGTGCATCTGGGCTGTAACCATTCTGCAGTAATGTTTCCAGGCACTCTTCCCGTCCTCCAAACACTGCTGAGTAAACAGGGCTCACTTTGTCTGGACCAGTGTCACAAGCCCGGTTAGTAAGCGGTATTAACAAGTCCAAGATCCTTCAAATACACAAACGGGAGGAATATTTACTATAGGAGATTTGTCTGTTGTCCTTGTTCACTATTATTTGTCTTACCACCATCATTACTTATGCTCCCAAATCCAATTTTATGTTTGGTATTTCAGGACCTAATAAATCATTTAAATACTTATTACATTAAATATGAAGTAGCTGGGATATTGCCCAGAGACAGAATGTCTGCCTACTATGCTGGAGGCACTGGGTTCAATTCCCAGCACTGGAGATTGTGTAATGACCAGTTGTGATAACACATACCTATAAGTCAGCAGTCGGAGGCTAAAACAGTATAGTTATGAGTTCAAGGCCTGTCACAGCTGCATAACAAGTTCCAGGAGTTAGAGCTACCTTGCAAGGTTCTGTTTCACAAAAAAACAAATAATAAAAAAAAAATAAAATGAAGTATTTTCCTTCTTAAACACTAATTGGTTTTATTTCTCATTAGTAAAAATTTTTTTTGTTGTTGTTTGGTTTTTCAAGACAGGGTTTCTCTATGTAATAGTCCTAGCTGTCCTGGAACTAGCTCTGGTAGAACAGTCTGACCTTGAACTCACAGAGATCCACCTGCCTCTGCCTCCCGAGTGCTGTGATTAAAGGTGTGTGCCACCACCACCTGGCCCATTAGTAAGAATTTTTAAAGATGGTGAGTAGCAATGAAATGAGAAATTACATTTTTAATCAGAAAAAATTAAAATTTATAGTAAAATATTACATGCTCAGAAAAAATGCAATTAATATCAATAAAGAAGTGGCTGCTTTTCTTGCCACAAGGAAACCTAAAATAACACTGGGGGATAACTAAAACCACAGATGGACCATCTTTAAAAACAAGTTTGGATGAAATCAGTGACAAGAGTCTATGGCCTGCCTGCACCAAGCAGGGTAGGCGCTTTGTTTGCGACCTGCCCACCAGCACGGAGGCCTGATCTCTAGACGCCAGGAGACCCAGCGTTGGGGTGAGTTTCTGACCCTGCAGTGCCAGCCCGGGAAGGGGAGTTCAGAGCCTCCTTGGCCCCCTATCCTTCTTGAGCTCTCGGCAGGGCCCCCACTCCCTGCATACCTCCTCTTTCTTCCTAGCCCACCCAGCTTCCATCCAGAACCCTCCCCAATTTGCCCCACCGCCCTCTTTCTGCACATAACATCACCCAGCCCAGCCTGTCTGGGCACTGGTTCCGAATCCTCGGGGCACCCAAGCGGGCGGGAGTCTCTTTGTTTCTATGGCCTGCCTGCACCAAGCAGGGTAGGCGCTTGGTTTGCGACCTGCCCACCAGCACGGAGGCCTGATCTCTAGGCGCCAGGAGACCAGCGTTGGGGTGAGTTTCTGACCCTGCGGCGCCAACCCGGGAAGGGGAGGTCAGAGCTTCCTTGGCCCCCTATCCTTCTTGAGCTCTCGGCAGGGCCCCCACTCCCTGCATACCTCCTCTTTCTTCCTAGCCCACCCAGCTTCCATCCAGAACCCTCCCCAATTTGCCCCACCGCCCTCTTTCTGCACATAACATCACCCAGCCCAGCCTGTCTGGGCACTGGGTCCGAATCCTTGGGGCACCCAAGCAGGCGGGAGTTCCTTTGTTTCTTTGGCCTGCCTGCACCAAGCAGGGTAGGCGCTTTGTTTGCCACCTGCCCATCAGCACGGAGGCCTGATCTCTTGGCGCCAGGAGACCCAGCCTTGGGGAGACCCAGCATTGGGGAGAGACAACGTTGGGGAGATGCAGCATTGGGTAGGCAAGGAGACCTGATCCGGTAAAGAAGATCCATAAGGGAGCATTTGGAAGAAGAGATGGGTAGACGCCAAGGCAAGAATTCGCCCAACAAGCTGAAAAGCAACATGAAGCCACCAGAAACCAGCGACCTCACAACGGGAGGACATGAACACCTTAATCAAGAAGAAGTAGAAAAGGTTGACTTCATGAAAGTGATTGACGCCCTTAAACAGCATGTAAAAAATGCCCTTATAGAAATGGATGAGAAATATAACAGAAAGTTTGAAGAACTGAATAAATCAGTGAATGATACCCTAGAAAACCAAGGAAAAACAATCAAACAGATAATGGAAACGGTGCAAGACGTGAAAACTGAAATGGAGGCAAAGAAGAAAACACAAACAGAGGGACGGCTGGACATGGAAAATTTAAGTAAACAAACAGAGTCTACAGAAACAAGCATAACCAACAGAATACAAGAGATAGAAGAAAGAATCTCAGATTCTGAAGATACCATAGAGAAAATAAACACTCTGATCAAAGAAAACAGCAAGTCCAACAAACTCTCATCACAAAATATTCAGAAAATATGGGACACAATAAAAAGACCAAACCTAAGAATAATAGGAGTAGAAGAAGGAGAAGAAGTGCAGCTCAATGGTCCAGAAAATATATTTAATAAAATTATAGAAGAAAACTTCCCCAACCTAAAGAAAGATATACCTATGAAGGTTCAAGAAGCATACAGAACACCGAATAGGCTGGATCAAAAAAGAACATCCCCTCGCCATATAATTATCAAAACACAAAGCATACAGAATAAGGAAAGAATATTAAGAGCTGCAAAGGAAAAAGGCCAAATTACTTATAAAGGTAAACCTATCAGACTTACACCTGACTTCTCCATGGAAACCATGAAAGCCAGAAGGTCCTGGATAGATGTACTTCAGAAACTAAGAGACCATGGATGCAAGCCCAGATTACTATACCCAGCCAAGCTTTCATTCACTATAAATGGAGAAAATAAAATTTTCCAGGATAAAAACAAATTTAAACAATATGCAGCCACAAATCCAGCCTTACAGAAAGTAATAGAAGGAAAATCACTAACCAAGGAGTCCAACAATGACCACAATAACTCAGACATCTAGAGACCCTTCACCAACACAAATCAAAGAAGGGAAACACACAAACTCTACGACTAAAAAAATGACCGGAGTTAACAACCACTGGTCATTAATATCACTTAATGTCAATGGACTCAACTCACCTATTAAAAGGCACAGGCTAAGAGATTGGATACGAAAACAGGATCCAACATTCTGCTGTTTACAAGAAACACACCTCAACCACAAAGACAGGCACCTACTCAGAGTAAAGGGCTGGGAAAAGGCTTATCAAGCAAATGGACCTAAGAAACAAGCAGGTGTGGCCATACTAATCTCTAACAAAGTTGACTTCAAACTTAATCAATCAGAAGAGATGGAGAGGGGCATTTTATACTCATAACAGGAACAGTTCAGCAGGATGAAGTCTCAATTCTGAACATCTATGCCCCTAATTTAAAAGCACCCACGTACATAAAAGAAACATTGCTAAAACTCAAGGCAGCCATCAAACCGCACACACTAATAGTAGGAGACTTCAACACTCCTCTCTCACCAATGGACAGGTCAAACAGACAGAAACCTAACAGAGAAATAAGAGAATTAATGGAGGTAATGAATCAAATGGACTTAACAGACATCTATAGAACATTCCACCCAAATAGGAAAGAATATACCTTCTTCTCTGCAGCTCATGGAACCTTCTCAAAAATCGACCACATAGTCGGTAACAAAGCAAACATCCACAGTTACAAAAAAATATTAGTAACCACCTGTGTCTTATCAGATCACCATGGATTAAAGTTAGAATTCAACAACAATGCTACCCCCAAAAAGCCTACAAACTCATGGAAACTGAACAGTCAACTACTGAACCATACCTGGATTAAGGAAGAAATTAAGAAAGAAATTAAAGTCTTCCTGGAATTCAATGAAAATAAAGAAACAACATACTTAAACTTATGGGACACTATGAAAGCAGTCCTAAGAGGAAAGTTCATAGCACTAAGTGCCCACTTAAAGAAAACAGGGAAAGCTCACATTGGAGACTTAACAGCCCAACTGAAAGCTCTAGAAAAAAAAGAAGCAGACTCACCTAGGAGGAGTAGAAGACTGGAAATAATCAAACTGAGGGCTGAAATCAACAAAATAGAAACACAGAAAACAATCCAAAGAATCAATGAAACAAAAAGCTGGTTTCTGGAGAAAATCAACAAGATTGACAAACCCCTATCCAAACTAATCAAACGGCAGAGAGAGAATTTGCAAATTAATAAGATCAGAAATGAAAAGGGGGACATAACCACAGACACAGAGGAAATTCAGAGAATCATTAGATCTTACTACAAAAGCCTATATGCCACAAAACTGGAAAATGTAAAGGAAATGGACACGTTTTTAGATAAATACCATATACCAAAGTTAAACCAGGACCAGGTGAACAATCTAAATAGACCTGTTAGTCGCGAAGAATTAGAAGAGGTTATCAAAAACCTCCCTACCAAAAAAAGCCCAGGACCAGATGGTTTCAATGCGGAATTCTACCAGAACTTCCAAGAAGACCTAATACCTATACTCCTTAATGTATTTCACAATATAGAAACAGAAGAGTCATTGCCAAATTCCTTTTATGAAGCTACAGTTACTCTGATACCAAAACCGCACAAAGACTCAACCAAGAAAGAAAATTATAGACCAATCTCACTCATGAACATCGATGCAAAAATCCTCAACAAAATACTGGCAAACCGAATCCAAGAACACATTAGGAAAATTATCCATTATGATCAAGTAGGCTTCATCCCAGGGATGCAGGGCTGGTTCAACATATGAAAATCTATCAATGTAATCCAGCATATAAATAAACTGAAAGAAAAAAACCATATGATCATTTCATTAGATGCTGAAAAAGCATTTGACAAAATTCAACACCCCTTTATGATAAAAGTATTGGAGAGATTAGGGATACAAGGGTCATACCTAAATATAATAAAAGCTATATACAGCAAGCCGACAGCTAACATTAAATTAAATGGAGAGAAACTTAAAGCCATCCCACTAAACTCAGGAACACGACAAGGCTGTCCACTCTCACCATACCTCTTCAATATAGTACTTGAAGTTCTAGCAATAGCAATAAGACAACATAAGGGGATCAAAGGGATTCGAATTGGAAAGGAAGAAGTTAAACTTTCGTTATTTGCAGATGATATGATAGTATACATAAGCGACCCCAAAAACTCCACCAAAGAACTTTTACAGCTGATAAACACCTTTAGTAATGTGGCAGGATACAAGACAAACTCCAAAAAATCAGTCGCCCTCTTATACACAAAGGATATGGAAGCAGAGAGGGAAATCAGAGAAGCTTCACCTTTCACAATAGCCACAAACAGCATAAAATATCTTGGGGTAACTCTAACCAAGGAAGTGAAAGATCTATTTGACAAGAACTTTAAGGCATTGAAGAAAGAAATTGAGGAGTATACCAGAAAATGGAAGGACCTTCCTTGCTCTTGGATTGGGAGGATCAACATAGTAAAAATGGCAATTCTACCAAAGGCAATTTATAGATTCAATGCAATCCCCATCAGGGTCCCATCAAAATTCTTCACAGATCTTGAGAGGACAATAATCAACTTTATATGGAAAAACAAAAAACCCAGGATAGCCAAAACAATCCTATACAATAAAGGATTGTCTGGAGGCATTACCATCCCTGACTTCAAACTCTATTACAGAGCTACAGTGATGAAAACAGTGTGGTACTGGCATAAAAACAGAGAAGTCAACCAATGGAATCGTATAGAAGACCCGAATTTTAACCCACAAACCTATGAACACCTCATTTTTGATAAAGGAGCCAAAAGTATACAATGGAAGAAAGAAAGCATTTTTAACAAATGGTGCTGGCATAACTGGATGTCAACCTGTAGAAGAATGAAAATAGATCCATATCTATCACCATGCACAAAACTCAAGTCCAAATGGATTAAAGACCTCACTATCAGTCAGAACACAGTGAACCTGATAGAAGAGAAAGTGGGAAGTACCCTACAGGAGATGGGCACAGGAGATCGCTTCCTATGTGTAACCCCAACAGCACAGACTTTAAGGGCAACATTGAATAAATGGGACGTACTAAAACTGAGAAGCTTCTGTAAAGCAAAGGACACTGTCACCAAGACAAATAGGCAACCTACTGACTGGGAGAAGATCTTCACCAACCCCGCAACAGACAAAGGTCTGATCTCCAAAATATATAGAGAACTCAAGAAACTAGACTTTAAAATGCTAATTAACCCAATTAAAAAATGGGGCACTGAACTGAACAGAGAAATCTCAGCAGAGGAAGTTCAAATGGCCAAAAGACACTTAAGGTCATGCTCAACCTCCTTAGCAATCAGGGAAATGCAAATCAAAACAACTTTGAGATATCATCTTACACCTGTCAGAATGGCTAAAATAAAAAACTCCAATGATAGCCTTTGCTGGAGAGGCTGTGGAGGAAGGGGAACACTCATCCATTGCTGGTAGGAATGCAATCTGGTGCAACCACTTTGGAAATCGGTGTTTCGGTTTCTCAGGAAATTCGGGATCAACTTACCCCTGGACCCAGCAATACCACTCCTGGGAATATACCCAAGAGATGCCCTATCACATGACAAGAGCATTTGTTCAACTATGTTCATAGCAGTATTATTTGTAATAGCCAGAACCTGGAAACAACCTAGATGCCCTTCAATGGAAGAATGGATGAAGAAAGTGTGGAATATCTACACATTAGAGTACTATGCTGCGTTAAAAAACAATGACTTCTCAAATTTTGCATGCAAATGTATGGAAATAGAAATACTATCCTGAGTGAGGTATCCCAGAGCCAAAAAGATGAACATGGGATGTACTCACTCATAATTGGTTTCTAGCCATAAACAAGGGTCACGGAGTCTACACTTGGTGATCCCAAAGAAGCTAAGTAAGAAGGTGAACCAAAGGAAAAGCATATAGTTGTCCTCTTGGCTATGGGATGTAGACAAAATTGCCGGGGAGAAAATTGAGATCTTGGGGGTGGGGTGGGATGGGGGTAAGGGGAGATGGGGAGAGAGGGGGGAGAGGGGGAGAATGGGGGGGAGCTTGGGAAAGGGGGAGGATTGGGATGAAGGAAGGTTGGATGGGGGAGCACGGAAGCACGGTTCTTAGTTAAGGGAGCCACCTTAGGGTTGGCAAGAGACTTGAACCTAGAGTGGCTCCCAGATACCTAAGCCGAGGTCCCCAGTTAGTTCCTTGGGCAGCTGAGGATGGGGAACCTGAAATGACCCTATCCTAGAGCAATACTGACGAATATCTTGCATATCATCATAGAACCTTCATCTGGTGATGGATGGAGACAGAGACAGAGACCCACACTGGAGCACTGGACTGAGCTCCCAAGGTCCCGATGAGGAGCAGAAGGAGGGAGAACATGAGCAAAGAAGTCGGGACCACGAGGGGAGCACCCACCCACTGAGACAGTGGAGCTGATCTATTGGGAGCTCACCAAGGCCAGCTGGACTGTGACTCAAAAAGCATGGGATAAAACTGGACTCTCTGAGCATGGCGAACAATGAGGGCTGATGAGAACCCAAGGACAATGGCACGGGGTTTTGAACCTACGTAATGTGCTGGCTTTGTGGGAGCCTAGCCAGTTTGGATGTTCACCTTCCTAGAAATGCACGGAGGGGGGAGGACCTAGGACTTACCACAGGGCAGGGAAATCTGACTGCTCTTTGGGCTGGAGAGGGAGGGGGAGAGGAGTGGGGGGAGGGGGAGAAGGGTGGGAGGAGGGGGAGGGAAATGGGAGGCTGGGGGGAGGAGGAAATTTGTTTTTTTTTTCTCTTTTCTCAATAAAAAAAGTTAAAAAAAAAAAGAAATCAGTGACAAGAGATTTCTCAAAATTGGGCACAATCAAGGACAAATTCCTATGAGAGTTTTGGTATCAAATTAAAGCTGTTAAATTTAAAGCTGTTAAATAACTGTTAAAAGATTTTTCTAAATGAATCACGAACAATGAGAGAAAATGGATCCAACCATTTTTTGTAATGGACACAAAACTGGGTGTAGACCTGGGAAAAGTTGGTGGAGTGTGAAAGTGTTTAAAACATGTATGGAAGTCCCAAAGAACTGGTAATAAATTTTAAATAGCAAGTAGAAGAAATATCAAATGTTGAAACCAAGTATTTTATTAAAAGAATCAACATGACACCTCTTAAGCATAATAAATGTGTCTAAGTTTTAAAGATGAGCTAGCAAAAGCATCTTGTCACAAGGCTTTCAGAGCTCTGTAAGGCCTCCACCTTCCTACTGTCCAAAGATAATGACCATTCTGTTATTTTTAAGTGAACAACAGTAATGATGGCTATAGAAAGTACTACTGTACAATTATGACCCTAAAGATTGTAAACATGATTTTTAAATCTGTCCATACTGATTTCTGGAAGGGAGCCTTATTCTTATTGACATAACCAGGTCACTAACTTCTAACATTTCCATACTCCCCAATATACTCTCTCAAAAATATGCTAAAAATTTTCTAGGGACTTTTAGCAAAGAAAGAGTTCCAGAAGCAGGAGACAATAGCAGACTGGAGGCGAGAGTAGGTAATGAATCTAATCAAATGGTTTAGGATGGGATGGACTGCTCATCACACACAAAAGCTTCCTACAGGGAGATAGTAAATATTAGCGAGGCCATCAGACCGCTAGCTGAAGATGTGTGGGGTAAAGGGAAAGGACTGCCATTAGCTGAAGAAATCCTGAGGAAGATCCAGTACCTACTCCATCTCTACTCAGTCTTCCTCAAAGTGGGAAAATGAAAATTTTAGAGGAGTTGAGGAGAAGAAATCAGCATGGGAAGATGAGGAGGAAATCTAGGCATCCCTCAAATTGGTTACAGAAAGGAAGGACCAAGGAATTTCCTGGAGGTAAAGGTGTGACTCAGTTCTACCCTTAATTTGCTTTTAATTCGGAGAGCATTTTTATTCCACTTTGAGCACTTACTTTGTATGGCCCATTTGTGCAGCAGCATGAACAGGCAACTGCCAATTGTCTTCATTGCAGTAAAGATCAGGATCTGCCCCACCGGACAGCAAAAGTTCCACACATTTTATATGACCCTCTTGTGCAGCAATAAACAATGGAGTAGCTTTGTCCAAGGCTTGACAATTGATATTTGCACCTAATACAAAACGAAATATTAAACAATAATCCATATAAGTGTTTTAAAAAATATGATAACACAAATTTCTTTTTTTTAATATTTATTTATTTATTATGTATACAATATTCTGTCTGCATGTATGCCTGCAGGCCAGAAGAGGGCACCAGATCTCATTACAGATGGTTGTGGGCCACCATGTGATTGCTGGGAATTGAACTAAGGACCTTTGGAAGAGCAGGCAATGCTCTTAACCACTGAGCCATCTCTCCAGCCCACGATAACACAAATTTCAAACTGCCACAAAAAGCTTTCATAGTACAGCAGCTTCCCCCTTAGTGGATGCTGTTGGAGAAAATATATGTATTTTACTAACCTGTTGACAATCATTTAAATTGTTTTCAGTCTCCATCAGTAAGAGCACAAATGATCATTCATATTTTAGAATTCACTTTTAGACAAAAAAACAATCCCACATTCCGTGAAGGCTATTTATTCAAATCCCTCTTCCAACAAATACTTTGGTTTCAAAGTACAGATAGCTTTTAAAGATTTATTTCAATGTGTATTCATGATTTGTGTATATGTGTGTGTGTTTGTGTGTGTGTATACATATCTGTGCATGTGCATGCAAGTATCTATGAAGGCCAGAAGGGTGCATCGGATCCCTCTGGAGCTGGAGTTCATAAACAGTGAGCCTACCTAACATGGATGCCAGATCTGAATCCCACCCTTCTGCAAGGGCAGCACATGCTCTTAACCACTGAGCTATCTCTCAAGCCCCAAAGTATAAAGATTTTAAAGGAAAGAAAGCCAGATGTAGTGATAAAGGCCACAATTCCAGTTCTTGGGAGTCTGAGAAAAGACCATTACAAGTTGGAGGCTAGCCTGTCTTTAAAAAAAAAAAATAAGAATAAATATAAATAACATTAAAGATAACTCCTAGGGAAGCATAAATTATGACACTTATGGATGTCACCAACTGTTTTTAGACTAAGATTTAAGAGGGACTTTACCAGTAGATATGGCTGAAATACATGGGATCTATGACTAAAACTATATTAATTAGTCTTATTACTACTTTTCTTCCTTTGTGAGTATTGTATAGTAAAACCAACAATAAATGGGAACAATATTTTTAATGGAGCAGACTGTAAAATAAAACTTCTGTTATTTTCATACTACTATATTCAGATTTGAAAAGGCAGTCAGACACGGTGGTGCATGCCTTTAAGCCCAAGTACTGGGAGGAGGCAGAGGCAGCAGTTTTCTGTGAGTTAAAGGTCAGCTTGGTCAACATAATGAGTTTCAGGACAGTCAAAACTACATAGGAAGATCCTGTTTCCATAAATAAAAAGCATACAAACAAAGATTTGGAATGGCTAAAAATGACCTTACTTATGAAACTTTTGAAAATAGCAGGTTACCCTAATCTTATCACCAGCAAATAATATATTAAATCTACTAAGACTTATACTATCACATGATAAAGCTAGTTTTTAAATTTCTCTAATATATCTCAGTATCAATACTATAAACATAGAGGAAAACTGACTATCTTACTCAAAATAATCTTACGTAAGTACATCTTAAACAAGCTACACAGGGTAAATTAAAGTCGGTGTTAACCTTCATGAATTGCAAACGTGCTAGCCAACTAGAATTGTCATGACTTTGGTGCATCATCTGCTGTCAGCTTCAGAGAGACATAAATAAAATCACTGAGAGGGAGGGGGAGAGGAGTAGGGGGAGGGGGAGAAGGGTGGGAGGAGGGGAAGAAGAGTGGGAGGAGGGGGAGGGAAATGGGAGGCTGGGAGGAGGCGGAAACTTGTTTTTTTTCCTTTTCTCAATTAAAAAAAAAGGAGGAAGTCAATGGCAAGACCTGCTTTTTAAAAAAAAAAAACAAAAGGGGGAGGGGGAGGGAAATGGGAGGTGGTGGCGGGGAGGAGGCAGAAATCTTTAATAAATAAATTAATTAATTAATTAAATCCAAAAAAAAGTTAAAAAAAAACAAATTAACCTTCTAGTTTGAGTGACAACTTCAAAGTATCAGAAGTAATAAGAAATCAGTTTCTCTAAGACTACAATTGAAAAAAATATAAAAAGTAACAGACACTGATGGTCATGATTAGAAGTGCAACCATAGTTACATTATAAACAGACCTTCATACATTTTAATTATACAAAAATTGCTATTTATAAGTTTAGAGAGAAGAAAAATTAAAAACAAAGAAATATAAGAATAAACATGTCCTGATTGTGCCAAAAAAAATACTAGTTTCTAGATCTCTGGTCAGCATTTAACACCCAGAGTCTGAAGTTCTTAATGTAAAATGTATCATTTCAAGAAGTAAGATATAAGTTCATAATTTCTCAGACACTTTCACCTCCAACTTCATGAAGGTTCATTTCTTCACTTCCTATCTTGACTTTATGTAAAGATGTATAAGGAAAAACTAGAAATAAGAAATATATGCCCTGTTTTTTGTTAAGCTTTGGTCTATTTGGAGGGTTTATTTTTCTGTTTGTTTGTTCGTTTTGTTTTGTTTTTGACACAAGGTCTCTCTAGGTAGTCCTGGCTGTTCAGGAAGTGACTACGTAGACCAGTCAGAAAATCTGGTAACAAGTCCCTCGTCTGACTACCCATGGCTTCTCAGGTTAGCTCTGCCAGAGCATGCACCCTGAAAGACTTTTAAAGCCCTTCTATATGGTGAACCCCTCTGGTTTGAAGATGTCACAAAAATAATGGCATGGTAACACTGCTTTCTCTGGCAAGGCTGCATGTCTAAGTAGTCACAGAGAATCGTTTAGCTGGTTATTCTGCCATTAACACAATACAATACAAACATGTTTTGAAAAGTCCATTTAAATAATCAGACAATTAACAAACCATTTGCTCTGGCCAGACTCTGACTCACTTGGTTAAATGCTTGATGCACAAACATGAGGCCTGAGTCTGGATCCCCAGCAGTGAGGAAGAGACAGGTAGATTTGGTCAGCCAGAACAGCTGGATCAGTGAGCTGTAGGCTTAGTGAGAGAACCTTTCTCAGAAACAAGGCATAGAGTGACTAATAAAGACATTAATACTGAACTTTGACCTCCACATTCCCATGTACATTAAGTGTACACACATACGCATACACACACATACACAAACACACACGGGGCGGGGAGTGAGCAAGTGAGTTTGGGGAAGATATATGCCACACAAAACATACAACTCAAAGGCTTAACACACAAAATGACCATCTAATAAACTAACCCTAGAGTAGACGTGTACCTAGAAAGCCACTGAACTGCAAGACGCCTGCTCAGGACCACCATATTCCTATGTAGATCAGTAAGAAGGATGTGTGTCATTGCTGGTAACATACTTAATAATAACCAGGACTGACATCAACTGTGTACACTTTTATCTGCAGCTCACATAAATTTCATCACCTAATTCAAGAACCATTCTTTCCAGGAATACCGTTTAAAAACTTGCTCTTCCTAGCACAAAGGCTGACGGCTCTTACCAGACGACATAAGAATGTTCAAGCTCTCTAGCTTCCCATACTGAGCAGCCACAAACAGGGGTGTGATTCCAAAGTCGTCCTGGCATTCTCTGTCTGCTCCATTTTTAAGAAGCAGTTTTATAATCTCCGCATTTCCCTGAAGCACAGATACATATTTTATATTAAAAAATCTTTCTTGTTGTATTTTACTTTTCTTATCTTCTCAGTAAAGAAAAACTTTAAGAAAAAAAATGCAGTGTCTTGATAAAATGGATAGAAAAGTCATGACTAATCAAGATTACCCTACACTTCTGCACAACCCATTAAGCATAAACATACTAAAAATTGGTCTCTAGCAATGTTAACCCTTAAAGTCATATAAAATTAGATTACTAACTTAAGCAGTAATAAACATGCCTTCTAAACATGTAATTATAATAAAATATACCATTTTTCCTTATCCCAGATTCTGATCACTTCATAACTATGTGGCCAACATTTTAAATTTAGATAATCCTACAGACCAAAGCAGCTCTGGTCCTGTAGCAGCTCGCTTATTTAGAACGGTCATTAGTATTTAGACTGCCTTTCTGTGCTGTACTAATCATTACAAACCATAGGCAAGTAAGAAGCAAGAACTGTATAGAACTGCCATTATAAAAAGGGTAAGACATACAATTTACATGGAAATGAAAAAAATAAATTCAGAGATTACCTGGAAAGAAGCCTGGTGCAAGGAATTCCATCCACACATAGAATGGAATCCATTGACATTTGCTCCATGTTGAAGCAACAGCTTCAGAACATCGATCTGTCCACTTTCAACAGCTGCAATACAGCAATCAGAGAAATTACAGTGAGCAAAAAGATATTTGTAGGACTCGACCGTTTTACAAAGTTCTAATCATTTTATATACCTTGGAATGCACAATGCTATGATCATTCCTAAACATTTATCACAACTATCTCAGCCTCATTTCATATGCATAGGCCTTTCTGCATACTGGGCTAGGGAGATGGCTCTGTGGGAATATCCTTGCTATGAAAGTCACTAGAACACATGTATACCTGGGCTGTAATCCCAGTACTCCCACAGCTACAAGCGATGCAGAGATGGGTAGATCTACAGAAGCTCAGAAGGCAGACTGGAGTATGCAGGGGTGAACAAGAGACCCTGACTCAAACAAGGTGGGGACAACTAAGGTTCTCCTCTGACCTCTACATTTGAAACACCTCCTACACGCATTTATCTTTCACACATACATGTGCACACATTCAGATTTAAAATAAACTATACCCACATGTATTATTTTCAAACTGCAGAAAATTGAAGGATAAAGAAAAAGAAGTCCAGGGTTGGGAAGATAGCTCAGCTGGTGAAGTACCTATCACGGACATTTAAGGACCTAAATTTGATCCCCATAACATACTCTTAAAAAGCTAGACATGGGGCTGGAAAGATGGCTCAGTGGTTAAGAGCACTAGCTGTTTTTTCAGAGGACCCAAGATCAAATCTCAGAACCCACATGGTGGCTCATAACCATCTGTGGCTCTAGCCCCTTCTGGCTTCCTTAGACACTGAACACATGTGGTGCACAGACGAATGCACACCCAAACCTATGAGAAGGTGGGGATAAAAAGACAAAAAACAAGACATGATAGGCAGCACTTATAAACCTAGCATTGGAGAGCGAGAGGGAGGCAGATCCCTGAAATATACTTGAAACTGATTTCATTCACCCAATTTTGAGATATACAACTAATATTTAAACATACTGTTTGCAATCAATGTCAATCATAATTGATTAGCTTAGAAACTAAATAACATGTTTATGGTAAAAATACTTCATCAATTTAATCATTACAGTAAGGCTGGAGAATTGTTTACTGTTTATTGGCGACATATAATTACTAAACTTGAATTGTATTATATCTATACATTTATACAAAGTTTGCGAACTAAACTGCCTTTTCCTCAACTATGTGCTTACACACACTTTTTAAACTTGAATGTAGTTCCATAATTCATGTGATTCTCAACAGTAAAAATGTGACAAGGAATACTATGAAATAAAACAAACTTCTTATACTAGATTATTGCTAACCCATTTGAGAAGTATGCTACAGAACACTATTCCGGAATCAATCTAAAAACAGAGAACAAACGTTACATGGTGATTTGAACAGGGAGGGCCCTAGAGAGCAGGGCTGTCAGCTCAAAGTTCAGACGCTCACCCTTCTTCCAGGTCGAGTTCTACATGTACTCTAGTCTCCATTATGCACTTCATTTTTCTATACAATTCTACAGTAAAATGGGTTTTTTGTTATGTCAGTTTATGCCAAGCTTTTCTCACTACATCTTTTATGAACCAGAAGTTATTTGTTATCTGTTGCAGCTTTCAATGGCATCTGAGGGCACTGGGACAAAAACTACAACAATAACAACTTTTCCCTTTTCTACTGCTGTTCATGTAATCTGTGTATCCTCAAGTTGGTTTTGACTACAGACAAGTACGGCTTTGACAACTGCAAAGACAACAGAGTTGTTTAAGGACTATTCTGGTCCAAATGATTATTACCGATTAGTTGTGATTAATGTCCTTCCTCGTCACACACAAGAAGGAAGGACATCCTCGTCACATACACACTGCTTGTGTGTGACCAGGAAGGGCATTGAATCTATCATTTCAAGACTGTCATTAGGAATACAGGATTGCCTGCTATTACTCCTCATTTCTTAACTAAAGTTTATAAATATGATTATAAAGTGGGACTTTCCCATAAAAAATTGAAATTAAATCTCTTTCTCTCTCTCTCTCTCTCTCTCTCTCTCTCTCTCTCTCACACACACACACACACACACACATTCAGAAATATTTCTAAAATGTATCATGACCATTAATCTTTACCCTCAAATGTTTGATATTTTATTGACATTTAGAAGATTTTGTCTAACTATAAAGCTATAATTCTATCTTAACAAATTCCTCATATATAAAGCCAGGTGTTGTGCACACATTTGATTACAGCAGTCAAGAAATAAAGGCAGGAAAATCTCTTGAGTTCTAGGCCAACCTGGTCTACATATCAAGTTCCAGTCCAGTCATGACTTCACAGTCTAAAACAACAAAGTTCGTACGTGCCCAGTGGTTAACAATTGTAAACATAAACAAGTGCTGGGGAAAATCAAGGCTTCATAGCATAAGAAAAACATCCTGGTGACTACCTAAATACAGCTGTACATGTTATCACTGGTATTTCTAATGGCCATTTAGATACCAGAGAAATCATATCCAGGAAAACACATCCTGCAGTCACATATAAGACAAAACCCTAAGATTCTACTACCCTTTTACGTACTAATTAGCATCCATCTATTTTCTCTGCACCAAGTTAAGAGAAACACTGTAATTTTTCAAATCTAATATCCCTAAGGGATGCTAGCTGAGTGGTACAGAAAGTACATAGCATGTGTGAGACCCTGGGGTCCATTACCACCACTAAAGAACAAGAGTAAAACAGCCGCCCTAAACTTACACAGTCTTCTCAGACATCTCCAAAAGCTTTAACACTAGGTTCCATAACTTTTACTATGACTCAAGTTTTTAATTCTTATAGCAAAATTCTCTTTTCAGGAATCAATTTTATAAGTACTGATCCACATTATGATTTATTGAAATAAATTATTATTCTGAGGATTCCTTAGCAAAGAAAATATGTACAAACCATAAATTATCCTTAATTCCGAAGATTCCTGCTAGTGAAGGAGCCATACCAGTCAGTAATAATCGTATAGAACTGACCAGTGGCAATAACAATGAAAAATAAAGGATAATGGATTATGTAATCATCCAGTTTACAGTCACAACCATGCTATACAGCAGCTCTATTCACTATCACTCACCAACTGCTGTTAATCTACAAACTGCTTGTCATCAGCCCATACAAGGTGAGACGTTTGACCAAGATGGAAAACAACTTTACCCCTAGTCATTATCTTTAGCTGAGATTTTTCTCAAGGTGAGACTTCAAAGATGAAGTAGTGTGATGGCCACATTGTGGCTCAAGCCTCTTACAGGGATAGACTGACACTCTGAGTAGCACTCACTCACTGCTCCATGGCATCTGTTGGGAGCCTAACTCCTAGTTCCCAGCCAGTCTGGGACTAGTGTGTGAGGTCGGCCCAATGACGAAACTCTGATCATCTGTTTCACAAAAGTGGCCCTAGATAGCGTGAGCTGTTTTTACTTACACAGTTTCAATGGTTTGCCTGAACAGTTTTACCATCAATTTGTTTCCTTTTGTATCTAATAATGTTTACATTAATTGATAATGAAGTCAGGTGGTGGTGGCACAGGCCTTTAATCCCAGCACTCGGAAGGCAGAGGCAAGCATTACGCCCTGAGGTCAAATTCCCAGTACCTACATAAATCTCCAGGCATGACCCTGCATTTATAACCTCAGGGCTATGGGGATAGAGACAGAAGGACTAAGGTTCAGTATGATAAACTGGTGTCAAGGGCATACTGCAGAGAGTGATAGCGCAGGAAATCAATGTCTTTTTCTGTGTGCACAGGCTCTTATATGTATGCAAACACACACACACACACACACACACACACACCTTAAAGCTGAATTTTATAACACATAAAAATTTTAAATATGTTTACATTCACAAAAAAGTACTTCCACTGATATTTTATTTTATTTTCATGTGACTAACAAATACTAGATAGATACTCTCATTTTTTTTTCTTAGCGTTTTATTTTTTTTTTATTTTTTAAATTTATTTATTTATTAAGGATTTCTGCCTCGTCCCCACAACCGCTTCCCATTTCCCTACCCCTCCCCCGATCAAGTCCCCCCCCCCCCCCATCTGCTCGAAGAGCAATCAGGGTTCCCTGACCTGTGGGAAGCCCAAGGACTGCCCACCTCTATCCAGGTCTCGTAAGGTGAGCATTCAAACTGCCTAGGCTCCCACAAAGCCAGTACGTGCAGTAGGATCAAAAACCCACTGCAATTGTTCTTGAATTCTCAGTATTCCTCATTGTCCGCTATGTTCAGCTAGTCCGGATTTATCCCATGCTTTTTCAGACCTAGGCCAGCTGGCCTTGGTGAGATCCCAATAGAACATCCCCATTGTCTTAGTGTGTGGGTGCACCCCTCGTGGTCCTGAGTTCCTTGCTCGTGCTCCGTCTCCTTCTGCTCCTGATTTGGACCTTGAGATTTCTGTCTGGTGCTCCCGTGTGGGTCTCTGTCTCTGTCTCCTTTCATCGCCTGATGAAGGTTAATATTCCTGAGGATGCCTATGTGTTTGTCTTTGGATTCACCTTATTTAGCTTCTCTAGGAACATGAATTATAGGCTCAATGTCCTTTATTTATGGCTAGAAACCAAATATGAGTGAGTACATCCCATGTTCCTCTTTTTGGGTCTGGCTTACCTCACTCAGGATAGTGTTTTCTATTTCCATCCATTTGTATGCAAAATTCAAGAAGTCCTTGTTTTTTACTGCTGAGTAATACTCTAATATGTATATATTCCATACTTTCTTCATCCATTCTTCCGTTGAAGGGCATCTAGGTTGTTTCCAGGTTCTGGCTATTACAAACAATGCTGCTATGAACATAGTTGAGCATATACTTTTGTTGTATGATAGGGCCTCTCTTGGATATATTCCCAAGAGTGGTATTGCTGGATCCAGGGGTAGGTTGATCCCGAATTTCCTGAGAAACCGAAACACTGCTTTCCAGAGTGGTTGCACAAGTTTGCATTCCCACCAGCAATGGGTGAGTGTACCCCTTTCTCCACAACCTCTCCAGCAAAGGCTATCATTGGTGTTTTTTATTTTAGCCATTCTGACAGGTGTAAGGTGGTATCTTAAAGTTGTCTTGATTTGCATTTCCCTGATCGCTAAGGAAGTTGAGCATGACCTTAAGTGTCTTTTGGCCATTTGAACTTCTTCTGTTGAGAATTCTCTGTTCAGATCAGTGCCCCGTTTTATAATTGGGTTGATTAGCCTTTTACGGTCTAGTTTCTTGAGTTCTTTATATATTTTGGAGATCAAACCTTTGTCAGTTGCAGGGTTGGTGAAGATCTTCTCCCAGTCAGTGGGTTGTCTTTTTGTCTTAGTGACAGTGTCCTTTGCTTTACAGAAGCTTCTCAGCCTCAGGAAGTCCCATTTATTCAATGATGCCCTTAGTGTCTGTGCTGCTGGGGTTATACATAGGAAGTGGTCTCCTGTGCCCATGTGCTGTAGAGTACTTCCCACTTTCTCTTCTATCAGGTTCAGTGTGTTCGGACTGATATTGAGGTCTTTAATCCATTTGGATTTGAGTTTTGTGCATGGTGATAGATATGGATCTATTTTCATTCTTCCACAGATTGACATCCAGTTTTGCCAGCACCATTTGTTGAAGATGCTCTCTTTTTTCCATTGTATACTTTTAGCTCCTTTATCGAAGATCAGGTGTTCATAGGTTTGTGGGTTAATGTCAGGGTCTTCTATTCGATTCCATTGGTCGACTTCTCTGTTTTTATGCCAATACCAAGCTGTTTTCAATACTGTAGCTCTGTAATAGAGTTTGAAGTCAGGGATGGTAATGCCTCCAGAAAATCCTTTATTGTATAAGATTGTTTTGGCTATCCTGGGTTTTTTGTTTTTCCATATAAAGTTGATTATTGTCTTCTCCAGATCTGTGAAGAATTTTGATGGGATTTTGATGGGGATTGCATTGAATCTATAGATTGCTTTTGGTAGAATTGCCATTTTTACTATGTTGATCCTCCCAATCCAAGAGCAAGGGAGGTCTTTCCATTTTCTGGTGTCTTCTTCAATTTCTTTCTTCAAAGACTTATAGTTCTTGTCAAGTAGATCTTTCACTTCCTTGGTCAGGGTTACCCCAAGGTATTTTATGCTATTTGTGGCTATCGTGAAAGGTGATGCTTCTCTGATTTCCCTCTCTGCTTCCTTATCCTTGGTGTATAGGAAGGCAACTGATTTTTTGGAGTTGATCTTGTATCCTGCCACGTTACTAAAGCTGTTTATCAGCTGTAGGAGTTCTTTGGTAGAATTTTTGGGGTCGCTTATGTACACTATCATATCATCTGCAAATAACGAAAGCTTAACTTCTTCCTTTCCAATACGAATCCCCTTGATCTCCTTATGTTGTCTTATTGCTATTGCTAGAATTTCAAGCACTATATTGAAGAGGTATGGAGAGAGTGGACATCCTTAGATACTCTCATTTTTTAAATGAAGCAACAAGCTTGCAATAATTAAGTGGTCATACAAGTTATATGTGGTAGGACCAAACTAGAGTCTAAGATATACTAATCCTACTCCAATGACATCCTCTGAATTTCCACGTCTCAGTCAATCTGAGTCAACCAGTTAATCAAAAAATGTTCCTAAGACTCCAACAGAACCAGAGAGATAGAGGGAATAAAATAAATGGTTATTAGCAGTGGACAACTGAAGATTTGGCTATGATCCTTAAGGAACTAACAGTTCCACACTGAAAAAGTCTGACTCGTGATCCACAGGTAACAAATTATTTCTTCCATATAGCCTTAATCCTTTAATACTAAGAAAAAGGAAACAAAATCTTAGTAGATAACCTTGCAAGGATTGCTCTAATCCAAGCATCACTGGTCTTCAGCACTACTCCGGGCAAGAACTCACCATGGGTTTTGCAGCTTTAAATAAACATTTCCAAGTCCTGAATACTACCATCACCCAAGAGTAGAAAAACAAGAGAGAAACCTTTAAATATAGCCTTTCAGTTTCAGAACCAAAAGAAATATTCTGTAACAGTTTACTAAGAAAAATATTTCTAAAAGTACATCTGTACCAAAAATAGCATACATCACCTAAAAACAACGGTGTGGTTTCTTCTAAAGTAGTTGCATTAGGATCTGCTCCAGCTTCCAGAAGAATCTGCGTGATCTTCCAGTGTCCTTGACTAACAGCAAGATGTAATGCACAGAAGCCCTCAAAAGTCTTTGTCTTAATGTAGTTTTCCGATGAGTCTGTGGAAAAAGAGAAACCTGTTAGCCAAAAGATTATCAGTTCTACTTCTTGAGTCTGAAAAACAAAGACTATATGAGGAATTGAATGAAATACTAAAATGCCAGTGTTGTCAATGAACAGCTCTATGAGCAAGGATTCCCGTGGGAACAGCCCCTTGGTATTCATGCAAGGGAAACTATGCTCACACACTGTCACCACTGCAAAGGCAATGGGACTGAGAGAATGGAGCTGATAAATGAGGCAAAGTTTCATGCAATAGCCAACTTTATTCAAAGCATCAGACAATTTATACTCAGGCGGAGAGTTAATAAGAGTCACATGAGTAAAGTGTCACAAGGACAAACCAAACGTGGCAAAAACATGTTTTTCCATAGAAGCAATAGTCATTTGTAATGAATAATCTGAAGTAAACTCACTCCTATCTGCTACAGCTGGGAGGAGCATGAAAATACATTTCAAGAACAATTCTATGTTCTGAAGAAATTGACATCACAGGACTCTTGGGTTTTTTCGTTGTTGCTTGTTTGTTTTGTTTTGTTCGTTTTGTTTTGTTTTTGGAGTTACCTCACAAGGATTCAAAATTCTTCTCCCACAACTCCATTCTTGAACCATGTGCCAACAATGTACTGCAGGTTTTCTAGTCTAACTTGTGATGAAGGAGAAGAGGGAATGGCAGAGGTTGAAAGGCAAGATTTGAGGCAGATGCAGCAGCAAATATTTACTCACTGAAATATTAACAAACCCGATTTTATTTCTATGAGAACAATTTCTATCATTACTTCCTTATATTCAACTAATAACATAAGGGCAATTTTGAATACTTCTTTTCATTTTTATGCGTGTACACATATATGCATGCTTGTGTGCAAAGGGAAGTGAATATGCACATGTGAACCTCGTTCAGAGGCTGGAGGACAACGTCAAGTATTGTCCTCAGGAATACCACCCATCTCCTCTGAGAAAGGAGCTCACAATTAGGCCAGACACGCTGCCCAGGAACCCAAAGGATCATCTCCACCTCCCAGTACTATCATGCCCAGAACTTTACCTGGGTGCTGGGACCCAAGCTCTCGTCCTCAAGCATATAAGGCAAGCACTTCACCAGGTATCTTCCCAGCCCTTAAAAACTCCTTGTTGGGAGCATAGTATGACGGTTCTTGAACCCACAGATCTCCAGAGAAACCAGGAATATTAGGCACACAGAACTGTCTTTTCAATGGGAAAGATTAAGAAAAATCAGTTTTCTATCCAGAAAGCTGAGAACTGGAAGTGATAAATATCCAGTGATGTGCATTATCTGTTGGGCCAGGCCATATCAAGCTCTTACAACCAAGACAGAGGAGATAAGTAATCTAAATAAATGATCCTTACAGCCAGAAGCTCCCCCTTTCTAGACCTGGATGGAATGGGGAGGTCCTTGGACTTCCCACAGGGCAGGGAACCATGACTGCTCTTCGGACTGTAGAGGGAGGGGAAGAAGAGAAGGGAGAGGGGAAGAGGAGAGAGGAGTGGGGGGAGGGGGAGAGGAGTGGGGGGAGAGGGAGGGAAATGGGAGGCGGGGAGGAGGCGGAAATTTTTTTCAATAAATATATATATAAAAGAAAAAAGAAAGCATATTTAACAAATGGTGCTGGCATAACTGGTTATCAACATGTACAAAAATGAAAATAGACTCATATCTATCGCCATGCACAAAACTCAAATGCAAATGGATCAAAGACCTCAACATAAAGCCAGCCACACTGAACCTTATAGAAGAGAAAGTGGGAAGTACACTTGAACGCATTGGCACAGGAGACTACTTCCTAAATATAACCTCAGTAGCATAGACACTAAGAGAATTAATAAATGGGACCTTCTGAAACTGAAAAGCTTCTGTAAAGCAAAGGACACAGTCAACAAGACAAAACGACAGCCTACAGAATGGGAAAAGATCTTCACTAACCCCACATCAGACAGAGGTCTGATCTCCAAAATATATAAAGAAATCAAGAAATTGGTCATCAAAAGAACAAATAATCCAATAAAAAAAAAAGTGGTGTACACATCTAAACAGAGAACTGTCAACAGAGGAATCTAAAATGGCTGAAAGACACTTAAGGAAATGTTCAACATCCTTAGTCATCAGAGAAATGCAAATTAAAACAACTCTGAGATTCCATCTTATACCTGAAAGAATGGCCAAGATCAAAAACACTGAAAACAACTTATGCCTGAGAGGTTGTGGGGTAAAGGGAACACTCCTGCATTGCTGGTGGGAATGCAAGCTGGTACAGCCCCTTTGGATGTCAGTGTGGCATTTTCTCATAAAATCAGGAAACAACCTTCCTCAAGACGCAGTAGTACCACCTTTGGGTATATATCCAAAGGATGCTCAATCGTTCCACAAGGACATGTGCTCAACTACCTTCACAGCAGCTTTGTTTGTCATAGCCAGAACCTGGAAACAACCTAAATAAATGCCTTTCGACCAAAGAATGGATAAGGTAAAGGTGGTACATTTATACAATGGAGTACTACACAGCAGAAAAAAATAATGACATCTTGAAATTTGCAGGCAGATGGGTAGAGCTAGAAAACATCATTTTGAGTGAGGTAACCCAGACCCAGAAAGTCAAATATCCAATGTGTTCTCTCATTATTGGTTTTTAAACATAAAGCAAAGAAAACCAGCCCACAAATCACAATCCCACCAGACTACAATGAGGACCCTAAGAGAGACATACATAGATCTAATCTACATGGGAAGTAGAACGTAGAAAAAACAAGATCTCCTGAGTAAATTAGGAGCATGGGGACCTTGGAGTTGAAGGGGTGGGGAGAGGCAGTGAGAGGAGCAGAGAAAAATGCAGAGCTCAATAAAAAAAAAAAATTTAAAGTGCCTTATCAGCCAGGCAGTAGTGGTGCACGCCTTTAATCCCAGTACTCAGGAGGAAGAGGCAGGTGGCTCTCTGTGAGCTCAAGACCAGCCTGATATACAAGAGCTTGTTTCAGGACAGGCTCCAATGCCAGAGAAACCCAGCCTCTAAAAACGAACAAAAAAAAAGTGCCTTCTCACAGAAACAGTATTCCAGGGGTGATTGGATCCTCAATCAAATCAATTTATTGAGAGATTCAGCATTATTTCAGGTATTACTGAGAAGAAGGAAGATTGAGAGAAAGCGCCAAGAGAAGCATCAAGAGATTCAAAGACATACTCCTGACAACAGGATATCTAGGCCAGGGCAGCCCTTGGGAAGAAGAAAGGATGGACTCCAATACTGCAGAAAAGGAAGATTAATTCTTGTCTTGGTAGAGTTTCTATTGCCATGAAGAAACATCATGACCACAGTTGCTCTTAATAAAGGATAGCTTTTAATTGAAGTGGCAGATTACATTTCAGAGGTTTAGGTCATTATTGTCATGAGGAGACCTGGTGGCATGCGCGCAGACTTGGTACTGGAGAAGTAACAGGGTGTCACACACCTTGACCTGTAGGCAACAGGAAGTGATTTATCTAACTGGGTGTGGCTTGGGCATATGAGACATCAATGCCTGCCTGCACAACAAAGCTGTAGGGTTAAGACAGCCCCTTTAGGGGGCGGGGTTTGCCTCGGGCGAATGCCTACAGATAAATGGGCACGCGGGAGGCGGCTCCGCCCTTTCCTTTCTACCTCCTGTGCCACGCGGGAACTTCGGTTCTGTAAGTTTATCATTAAAGTGGTAAATATTCTTTAATATCTGCATTGCATTTATTTACACCAATACATTTGGCGCCCTCCCCGTGGGGCTTTGCCGAGACCCGGCCCAAATCGGAGCCACTGCTCCTGGTGGTGGTCTCTCTGGGCGCACGGAAGCAGCTGAGATTCTGAGCGACTCGATTTTCCCTGCTACTTCCTAGAGAATCAAGCGGGACGGGAGAGCTAGCACTCTCCCACGTTTTGAAATCGGCAGCGCCTCTGTAACAGGGTGATCAGTCTCTGTTCCCCTCCCACCTCCGTCGGCGCTCGGGTCACGTGACAGCAGCCCTGCGAGCCCCGGCACGCCTGCATCCCTCTGATTTGTTCACTTTGGAGGCTTTTCTCTCTGTTCCCATTCTGGCCCAATTGCTACTTATCAGTCTGGTGTCTGTTTCAATTTTGTTTTTGAGTCATTTATTTCAGACTTAGGCCACGTGGACTCATGTGGACTCTTTCGCCACCACTGGCAGGAACCAGTCATTACAGGTAAAAGAATTTTTTCTTTTATAAATAAAATGTCTGAGAACGTGACAGTTTCAGATTTCAACAGCTTTTTTGAGTGTACCATTTGGGAGATTTTACAAGAGGTGTCTATCACCCCACATCTATGGATATTTCTGGGATTCTTAATTTTCTTTAGCACTATTTGGTTTGATAATAGGAAAATGATCAAATCTCTTAAGGCACAGGTTGAATGTTTAAAAACTATTAAGAATGACAACAATCTTCTCAAGAATCTTTGAAGTTCTCCAGGAAGAAAACAGATCTTTGTTTAACATGACTCGCTTAACTGAGCAAAATCTAGAAAAGGTACAGGCTGATGTTAAGGAGAAATTCATTACTATGGAAGAAGGAACAGCTGAATTAGATCGTAAGTTCCAGCAGTCCCTTTCTGTAGGAACTGAAACATTAACCGAGAGAATCAAAACTGCTGAATGTGACAATCGAATTTTGTCTAAAGCTTATGACAGATTGGCGGAAAGATTATCAATACAAGAAGGCACGGTTTATGCCATAAAAATTATGTCCAAAGATGACAAGTTATCTCTAATGGACAAATTTCATACTTTAGAATCCTCAATGAAGGCTTTGGAACATAATTCTGGACAGGAGATTCAGACATTACAAAAAGCAATGGTGAATAGAATTGAAAAGATTGAGGAATTTCTAAATTCTGATGAAGAAGAGCAAAGGGTAGAAAGGCAAGTTTTAACTACATCTGTGGATAAATCCCTCAGGGACAAATTCCACAAAGCTCTACCTACAGCTCTACATGCCTT